GCTCAAACTCAGGATGTACAGATCTTTAAAAAGTGTAATATGTCTCAAATGAATCCGAAAGAAGTTTTCCACAACACTGCATGCTCAGTTCAACCACCTTCCATAGCCGGTCACTCCCTTTAATGTCCGAAGAGAAATGATATCTTTAAATATCCTCCAAATCTCTCTGTTACCCGATGATACATTTTTTAGGATGAAAACCTTGGTTCAGATTTGCTCCGGGATGGTTTATCTAGACGGACTAGGTTGTGTGCACCGTGATCTGGCGACCAGGTAGATATTCCTCCAACATTGCATCAGCTCTAAACCAAGTATGGCCCCTGGGGGGAAATTTTGATCTTAAAGTCTGGAACTGTTATTTTTGTTTATTTGCGACTTTTTTAAATGCCAATTTTAGGTTTGATGAACATTTTAAACACGATAATTGATTAAGTTCAGAAAACGCCATTAATAAGGAATCAGATAAAATAACAATCAAAAGAAACTATTCCTGTTTTTTTATTTACTTAGTCTCACTCTTTAATGTATTTATAATGCTAGAACCAAAAACTCCAGTCGACTAAGCAAAAATATTCATTGTTCAGTCTAGTGAACAATTATTTCTGATTTCTGCAGAAAGCATGAATCCTACAAATCAATCATAATATATAGCTAGGTCATAACAACGTTGTATTTTTAGAAAAGACAACTTATAGGTTTTATTGGGTCTAATTTCTTAAATTCATGGTTCCAGCCAGTTTTACAGCAATCACAGCTTAATTTCATCAATTTTTAGTATTTAATAAAAAATCTAAATTTTGTTGTTCTGACCACGAAAAAAAACTCTTTTAGATCAACAAAAAGTTAACTCAATAATCGTATTTCGTGTGTTCAGGAACTGTTTGGTTGGATCTGATTACAGGATCAAGGTTTCAGATCTAGGTATATTTCAACCCTTGTACGCCGCCTGCTACTATACCTGTACAGAGGATAGAATACCACTCCGGTGGATGCCCTGGGAAGCAGTTACCATGGTAAGTTAAGGGACAGTTAGCGCAGTTTCAAGCAACCCTTCGTGCAAAGATGGCAATGCCCGATTTACATCGGTTTCCTTGGAAGCTTTATCTCATTAATATTGTGGAAGATAATTACGTTTTTCTAGCTTGATAAATGTTGAATTCTGGTAATTTCCATTTTTTTTCCTTCAGTAGAAATTCGCAAGTCACTTTTGTAGGGAAATCAGAACTGAAAGATATCCATTTTTTTAAATTTTAAACATGGATATCTAATTCACACTTGATCAGACAAAGATTTTGAGAGTACCGTTGTGAATCGGGAATGGGGGTATTTTTACTTAGAAAACGAAAGTTAATGTGCTAGTGTATTCAATTTTTTGTTTGATCAAATAACATTATAATTACAATCTAGAATTTTATTTGCATTCACAACGAAACCAAAACGTCTATTTTGCAGAACATGGTTTCATTTGGATTCTAACCATGTATTTACAAATAGTCCTTGATGTGTGAGTTCCATGTAATTACAAATAGTCCTGAATGTGTGAGTTCCATGTAATTACAAATAGTCCTTGATGTGTGAGTTCCATGTATTTACAAATAGTCCTGAATGTGTGAGTTCCATGTAATTACAAATAGTCCTGAATGTGTGAGTTCCATGTAATTACAAATAGTCCTGAATGTGTGAGTTCCATGTGATTACAAATAGTCCTGAATGTGTGAGTTCCATGTAATTACAAATAGTCCTGAATGTGTGAGTTCCATGTAATAACAAATAGTCCTGGATTTGTGAGTTCCATGTATTTACAATTAGTCCTGAATGTGTGAGTTCCGTGCATTTACAAATAGTTCTGAATGTGTGTGTTTATGTCAATAAAAGATATAAACCAGCCTCTTGTCTACAGGATGTTAGGTTGAGGAGCTGGTCATTTATCCACATATATCCCTACCAGTCAGGGGGAAAATCATTTTCTAGAGTGGATTCCTATAATTCCCCCTCTACCAACTTTGGGACAAGGTTTAAGAGAAGAATAGTGCTTTATATCTCTTAGGCTGCAGCAGTTGTATCAGATAGAATTGAAATATTTGTTTTAAAGGTTTAATATACCATGCAGGAACTCCCATAGCTTTGAATAAAAATAAAGCGTACTGCAGTTTCTGGGAGGAATAGAAACAAAACTAACTAGCCTGACTAGCACCGTGCATTTGTTTACATTCATTCCGAAAAATGGCGAATCTATACACTTTACTTTTAAGGAAAACTAATGGGAGTTCCTGGTTTTCTCCTTGGTTTAATTCCATAGTAATATGAGATTGTCGAGAATATCTGCCCAAGGAAATTATATTCCAGGAAGAATAATAATAGAATGTCAATAATCTGTCCAAGGAAAATATAATCAAGGAAGGTTTGAAGAAGTGTAAACAATCCCTCTCTAAACTAGTCCCAACCTACCTGTCTAAAACCATATATCCATCTCAGCTACACTGCAGTATACCAAGAACTCAATCCTTGCTCCGTAGTTAAACCCTGCACCGGAAAAAGTTTTTTATTAATGAGGTCAGATACTCAGATACATACTTTATTCTCAGGATAAAATTCAGGGTTAAGTTGCGACCACGTTTTCAAAAGATTTAACAGATTAATATTTAGGACGAATGGAGCTCAGCTAGTGATGTCTGGGCTTTCGGAGTTGTAATCTGGGAAATCCTGACAGATTGTAGAACCCTTCCCTTCTCCATACTCTCTGATATACAGCTGGAGGAGACAATCAGGGAGCGGGTTCAGGTACAATATGATCCTAAACTTGGTTCAGATACAATACAATCTTAGACTTGGTTCAGATTTAATACAATCCTACACTTGGTTCAGATATAATAAAATCCTAAACTTGGTTCAGATACAATACAATTCTACACTTGGTTCTGGTATAATACAATCCTAGACTTGGTTCAGGTATAATACAATCCTACACTTGGTTCAGGTATAATACAATCCTACACTTGGTTCAGGTATAATACAATGCAATTAGTTCTCTAATTAAAAGAATTGTTTTCTATAAATATCAATTAAACTCAAGAACAAATTGTACCAGGCTCGTAGAATATCTTGAATGTTTGTTCTGTTTAATGGATTCAGCCTCTAATACAATACAATACTTGAGAAAAAGGGGAAGAAAGGAATAGGATTAGGATTTATATCTCAGATATCCTCAGTAATGGAACACATACTCAACTCCCTATAAATCGCTTTTAGTTTCCAGACTTGCTTTTTTTTGTATATGCTTTTACTTAAGTTAATCTTTTTAATTAATTTGTAATTGATTTAATCTATAGCTAATAGCAGATTATTATCCATTTAAACAATAATAAATATATTATCTATTTATGATTTGCAACAAGTAGCAAAAATGGATCAACTGAAACCTTAAAAATTAGTTTTCAAATCATATTTAATATTATTCCTGTGTTAAAGCAAAACTTGAATGCTAAGTATTTATAAAAATGATCGAACTATGCAATGATCCCCAAAATTAAGTGGAATCCAAAGACGAAGTTTACATTAAAAATCTTGTTAAAAATATTTTAATGAACGTTTAATATTTTGATTAAACGTTTTTAAGTTACATATTAGATATAAATGTCAAATCTTAATAGTGATGAATAAACTTTTTAAAAGTTGAAGGTCGTCTTCATTTTCCTATTTATTCTGGCGACCATTATGTTATACCAAAATATTTTTATGGAAATGAAATACATTCGTGAAATTGTGAATTCCTTTTGTATTCAGGTTCTACCCAGCTCTCCTGAGGATTGGGAGGATAGGGACGGATTGGTGGAGATCATGTTTCAATGTTGGAGTAGAGAACCTAGGCATAGACCATCCTTCTCCTCCATCCTTCAACAGATTAATAGATTATCTTAGATCAGTTCTCACACTATTCATGAGTAGGATTTATATATATTCTCTACTCTATGAGTAGGATTTATACAAATTCTCTACTGCAGAAGTAGGATTTATATATATTCTTAACTCTCGGAGTACGAATTATATATTCTATACTCTTGGAGTAGGATTCATATATTCTCTACTCTAGCAGTAGGATTTGTATATTTTCTCTACTCTAGAAGTAGGATTTGTATATTTTCTCTACTCTAGAAGTAGGATTTGTATATTTTCTCTACTCTAGAAGTAGGATTTGTATATTTTCTCTACTCTATAGAAGTAGGATTTATATATATACTATACTCTAAAAATGACAAGACTTACTACACCATCACTATATGGTCTGACTAGAATACAACATTACACTATGGCCTTACTCCAATACATCATTACAATGTGGTCTTACTAGAATACATCATAACAATGTGGTCTTACTAGAATACATCATTACAATGTAGTCTTACTACAATACATCATTACAATGGGGTCTTACTACAAAACACCATTACAATATGGCCTTACAACAATACACCATTACAATATGTTCTTACTACAATACATCATTACAATGTGGTCTTACAACAATACACCATCACAATATGGTCTTACTACAATACATCATTACAATGTGGTCTTACAACAATACACCATTACAATATGGTCTTACTACAATACATCATTACGATGTTGTCTTACTACAATGCATCATTACAATATGGTCTTACTTCAATACATTATTACAATATGTTCTCACTACAATACATCATTACAATATGGTCATAATACAATAAATTATTACCATATGTTCTTACTACAATATATTATTACCATATGTTCTTACTACAATACATTATTTCCATATGTTCTTACTACAATACATTATTACCATATGTTCTTACTACAATACATCATTACAATATGGTCTTACTACAATACATCATTACAATATGGTCTTACTACAATACATCATTATAATATGGTCTTACTACAATACATCATTACAATATGGTCTTACTACAATACATCATTACAATATGGTCTTACTACAATACATCATTACCATATGTTCTTACTACAATACATCATTACAATATGGTCTTACTACAATACATCATTATAATATGGTCTCACTACAATCTATCTAAATTTTCCTGTAGAAAATGTTTTTTGTTGCAGATCCCAAATTATATAATTTTTGTCAGTGTTCTATTTCTACGGTGTTAGAATTAATAAATGTTCTAAACTAATCTGTATTTTCTCCATTTCTAAAAGTTCTCCTGCAATAATTAGATTAAAATTCAAATAAGAAGATTAATTTCGAACTTTCAGTGCTGAGACCAAGATTAAGATGAGGAAGGATCTAGATAATAAACCTTTAATTAAAGTCAGATTTTGCCTTTACTATTTATTACCTTTAATGTAGATAATACATAGTTTTTAAGTATGTGTATAGTATGTTGTACAATGTACAAGATATAATATATATGTTGTAAATATATTGTATTATTGTAAATTCTTAAAATTTAACCCTTCTCCCTGGTCAATGTTTTGTACTAAGATACGCCTTACCCGTTGTACATTGTAAATTACATGTAAATTGTACAATGCTTTATGTACAGAGTTTACTGTACATAATCTCAGTTTAAACCAATCTGATTAAACATTATTTAAAGTATAAAATGATTTACGACGTGTTTAATGTTTTAATATATTTGTAACTGTGATACTTTCCCCCGCTAGTAAAATATATTAGTTCTCCTAACTCTAGTTGGTGTAAACAGTTTTACTTACAGGGAACAGAAACTAGATATTTAGAGAGGTTTATGTGTTGGGATTAAATATTTAGCTGGACTCGGAGCTCTGGAGGGTTTAGCACCGGGTTTAAGAGTAGAGTACGGAGAGGTTTTCTCAGAAAAGTTGCAAGATGTCTTTATATAAAAAATTGAGTGATAACAAAAGAAATTATCGGAAATTCTAAGAATTTGTTTAAAACATGCTCGCCTGAAAATGTTTAAAGATACCATAAAAGCTACGAGTAAGAGAGAAAAATCTCCTCAATAATATTTAGAGAAACAAGAACCCTAAAAGTTACAAATAAGAGAGAGAAATAAGTCTTCATTCATGATTACTCTAATATCAGAGAAACAAGAACCCTAAAGTTACGAATAAGAGAGAGAGAAATAAGTCTTCATTCATGATTACTCTAATATCAGAGAAACAAGAACCCTAAAGGTTACGAGTAAGTAAGGGAGAATAGTGAAAAATTGAAACTTGTTGAGTGAACCAATCAGATAAAACCTGAGCTGGGAACTTTAGAATTGATAACCTTTAATCCCAACTACTTAATCCGAATATTCACTGTGGAAACTTTTAATTTTAATCCTTAATCCACTCTTTTTCGCTCTCTTTGGATATCCGTACATTGATTTCTCCAATGAGAGTGCAGGAATATAGTTCGTAAGTTGTATTGACCAATATTGAAAGCCTTGAAAACAAATTCTATCCCATGAGGGAAATCCGCAATTTTTAACAAATTAAGAATTTGTTGTCGGCCATTTTGTAAATTAATCGGTGAAGAAAAATATTTAGTAATACGTTTGAGATTCTTTTGTAACCAATTTTAACAAATGGGTGAGAAATTAAGTTATGGCCCTTCCAGTTAAGATATCGAACAAATCTGGCGTTCCTAGAATCAAATTTGTTGATCTAAATATTAAATCTGGAGATTAACATAATCTCGAGATTGTGTTAGTCTCGTGATTAGCAAAAAGAAAGGATTAAGCATTAATCCTGATCCACCATTTTAAAGTTCCCAGCTCTGGAGATAATATATTAACCAAGAACCCAACCTGAAACTTGTATCATTTATTAGAGAAACTGGGCAGAGTATAGGAGAAGGACCTATAGGGTTATTGATGAGAAAACTTTCAGAGAAAATGAGAACAGAAAAGTAACATAAAATAGTGTAAAAGCTTAAAGTTGTAGCTCTGGAATTAGTTTCAGGCTAGGCTGGTAGTGCTGTCGGAACTTATGAGAAACATCTGGTTTGTATTTTACCTGATCAATTTAATCAATTTAATCAATTTAATCAATTTAATCAATTTAATCGATTTAATCAATTTAATCAATTTAATAATTTAATCAATTTAATCAATTTAATCAATTTAATCAATTTATTCCGTCGGAAGGTTATTAATTTGTGCTTTCTAAAGAAACAAAATTTAGAGTGCAGAATATTGTTTAAACATTTTCCTTAAATTTTTTTTTAGTTTTACGTCATATGGAAAATATTCACGCTAAAGGAATTGAGTCTTTGCCACAAACTCAGATTTTCTAATCTTTGTAACTCAATTTTGTAGACTTTAGTCATTTCGAACTATGAATTCTAATGGATCAAATAATCTAAGTTTAAAATATCAAAGGTTTACATCATTTGGTTAGTAAGATATAGTGATTAGAAAATTTGAGTTTGTTATAAAGACTCAATTCCTTAGCGACAAAACAGGTCTAGTCTCGAACCTGTTCTTATTATCTTGTGTAAGACAGATATTGAATATCTAAACAATCCAATAAAGAAAAGGCTCCCAAACTGCAGGGACAAAATTAATGATAAGAGTTCCGGAGAATAGAAGAGACAGAAAACCGGGAAAACCTTGGTCATATTTTGTAGACGCGACGGGTTGGGAAATTTGGCTTAAAGGGAGTGTTTGCAAAAAAATGAAACGGGGTACAGGCTTTTACGGCGATAAATAATCGCTTCTGATCGCTACTAATCTTACTTCTATCTGTTGCGTCTATATGGAGAAAATTGTTAAAAACGTCTCATACCGAAGAACGAAGCGTTCATACAAATTGAGGAAGTTGGAATATACGACTTGGATCGTAAAAAAATCAAATTAATATCAAACAAATAATTTAGATATTAAATCCTATAGTCTTCGATTATTTTTCGACGCATTTGTATATAGTTTATATTTCATAATATTTTTTATTTTGTGTTTTTTAAAATTAATATTTCGCTTACAACTTGTTTTCACGACTGGCGCATTCCCGGAAAATATGGAAAATGTCGTCTTCATTATCAAAATCCTCGATTCAGGAATGAATGTTTTCAAAAGTCACTCTCGGATCATAGAAAGTAAAAAATATTATGAAATATTAACTATAACGAATGCGTCGAAAAATAATCGATGACTATAAGTTGTAATATCTGAATGCTTTGTTTGGAATTAAATTGATTTTGTTACGATCCGAGTCGTATGTTGCAACTTTCTGAATTTGTAAGGAATCTACATTCTTCGGTATGAGACGTTTTTAACAATTTTCTCTTTATAGACGCAACAGATAGAAGAAAGATTAGTAGCGATCAAAAGCGATTATTTATCTCCGTAAGCCTGTACCCCCTTTCATTTTTCGCGAACAATCCCTTTAAAGACAAAATACTCATCGTTGAATTAATAGGATTCAGTGTGCAGAACGGAAAAAAGACATAAAGTTTCACAAATAGGAAAATAAATATTAATTTGTCTGATCTTAGTCAGTTGAATGAGTTTATAAAGTTTTCAGCTTGCATTGTATGTCTGCAATGGAAGTGAAAAGTGGCAAGTTTTACTTTTTTGGTTTCATTTCATAGTTGCTATTTTTGAATAGATTCTTTGTTCGGAAACATTTGGTACAATACAGAAAGAGACTGGAAACGTGAGTTCAAGTAACCCTCCCGTTAATTGTTCGATTAAAAACGGCATCGATTCAGTTTTCGAACAAAAATTATGGAGATATCATGGTATTTTTCTATTTGAAAATTCAAAACATTTAATTGCTGTTTCTTTGTTAAAGTAACTTGCGGTTTTATACAGCAAAGACAAGGAAGTAAATTAACAAAATATTTCTCTGTTCAAGATAGAAAATCGATGATATCTTCCTTGTTTTGACTTCGATAACACTTATAGAACATCTTTGTGGATGAGTAGGTAACTCTTTGTATATATGGTCCTTTTGAATTAGGTGAATACTTTAGCTGTATGATCATCATCTTATATAATATTCTTATATTTAATTAATTCTGAATATTAGTCCTCTTGACTGGACTGAATGCGGAGTAAAACGGTAAATATATGTCGACAAAGTAGTCCTCTTGAGTGAACTGAATGCGGAGTAAAACGGTCAATATATGTCGAGAAAGTAGTCCTCTTGACTGGACTGAATGCGGAGTAAAACGGTAAATATATGTCGACAAAGTAGTCCTCTTGAGTGAACTGAATGCGGAGTAAAACGGTCAATATATGTCGAGAAAGTAGTCCTCTTGAGTGAACTGAATGCGGAGTAAAACGGTCAATATATGTCGAGAAAGTAGTCCTCTTGAGTGAACTGAATGCGGAGTAAAACGGTAGATATATGTCGAGAAAGTAGTTCTCTTGAGTACACTGAATGCGGAGTAAAACGGTGAATATATGTCGAGAAAGACGAATAATTGTGTGCTGTGACTCGAATATAGATGAGATACATCCAATATAGGATAAAGAGTAGGACAGCAGGGAATATATATATATATATTTATATACACTTTATACAGGGTGTTTAAAAATAATGCTATTTTAAGACACTATATCTGAGCTGGGACATTGTTTCGCTTTTCTAATCTCGGAGATCTAACTATCTAGGTTGATATTGATAATCTATATTTCCAAATTGTGACCAAAAAAAATGTATTTCTCTTATTTGTCTAAAATCTACACTAAAGATATAAGGTAGAGACTAGAGGACAATAATGAGGGCTTTAGGTTTTTTAATTTTTTTCATATGTGTTCACATTTAATTTATCGATATATTTTTTCAAAAAGCAATTTTCAGAATCATTTTTTCATAGAAATGCATAAAAAGATACCAAAAATTTATTTTTCCCCAGTGGGCTTTAACTTAGGGACACCCTGTATATTAATATAAATAAAGAATATTGAGTATAAAGTAGAGGATAAAAAGTGAAAACTCCGAGAGTATGAATTATTAAAAAGGCTGGAGAGCAAAATACTTATAAAAGTAAAATATTAAGATCTTGAGAGGTTCAAGTTAAATCTTAATTTATATTTTGAGTTTGCGCAGTTTAATTACATTTTTTCTTCTTTCATATACTTATTACATTTATTTTGAGCCACAAATAACTCGAACACTTACCTAAACCTAATTAACCCTTATTTCTTTGCAACCTGATGGTGTAAACCTTTGATATCTAAAAATTTAACTATTAATGTAGCAGAATTCATGTAGTTTAAAATATCAAAGGGTTACGACACAAGGTTGCAAAGATTTAGGGTTTAAAAAATTAGAATTTGAGATCAAGTTTGAGCTCCCAGAAGGAAACACAGAATAAGTTTATTTAACTGTTTGCACACTTTTTATTCCTTTTATACAATAGATGGGTGAATAAAATAAAATTTCCATTCAATTACAAATTTTATTATCTAACAGTTTATCTTGATATAAATTCGCAATAGACCCGGCCTCGTGGAGAATAAGAAGTAAAAAGATTTTTTATTCCTTTTTAATCTATTGTGTATTGTATGGTCTAAAACCTAGAGAAATATTAACAAAAGGCTTTGAATTAAGTAAACTTCACATTCATGAAACTGAAAATAGAACTTGCACACAAAAAGTAAAGATTTTTTTTAAAAAACTTACAGTTTGCCTAAAGGAATTGAGTCTCGGATTTTCTATTCAATATAATCTTTTCAACCTGATGGTGTAAACCTTTGATATATCATACT